AGTTTATTATTAAGTCTTTTAAAGTAGAATTAGTAATTATACTTATTTTTTATATATTCTTTATACTTATTATAGAAATATTAAGGCTAAAAGAGGGTTTAATATTATTAATAGTTATTTTATAGAGTAGGATAGTTTTCTATATATAGTTAGGAGGTATAGTCTTAGTCTTATTAATCTATTAAGGTATTATAGAAATAGTACTATTATTTATTTTAGAGTATATTAATTTCTTAGTACTTTAAGAGTTACTTAATTTTATCTTCTTAGTTATTAGATTCCTCTTTAAAGCTAGAGTTACTTATACTAAAAGTAAAACTATAAGTAATCTCTACTTAAGTATATTATTAAGTAATATTATAAAGTTTATTTAAGTTATAAAGTAAATTTTTGCTTTTTCTAAAAGTTTAGTTACTAGTTATACTAAGGAGTTATTATTCTATTAGTAGATTATATTAATATTTTAGTTTTTCTTTTAATTTTTCTTATTAATATAGTTATATCTATCTAATATCCTCTTATTAAATTATTTCTATTTCTTTTTAGATTTATTATTCCTTATAGTAAAGTTATTAAGAGGTTTTATATAAAGTAATTAGCTTTAGTTATTAGATTTATAGTATTTTATTAAGTAGTTTAGCTAGTTTCTTAGTAATTTTACTATTACTAGAATATATTATAGCTAAAGTCTTAAGGTAAGTATTTAGGATAGTTATATTATATTTAGATTATTTAGAGTTACTATCTTTTAAGTAGTATCTTAATATTTCTTTATTTTTAAGGTAGATTTAATATTTATTATTATAATATCTTATTTATAACTAGGATATATATAAAGCTTTTATAATTATATTAACTTATTGAGGTTATTTAGCTATTAGCTTCTAAGGGAGCTTTTTAAGTTATTTATAATTTCTAGTGATATATCTCTATTTATTATAGTTATAGTACTTAGAGTTTTAAGGTTTCTTATTATTAGGTTTAGTTATTATACTAAGGTTTATAAGTTTACTATATTCTCTATAAGTAGTATTTTAGTAAGTATTATTTTAGTTATTATAAAGTCTATTATTATTTTATTAGTTACTAAACTTATATTAAGGTTACTATTAGTATTTATATTTAAAGTTAGCTTTTTATTATCTTTTATTTTTTTCTTTTCTTTATTTAAAAAGTTAATTATTAATTTTAATAGCTATATTAGCATATTAGAGGAAATCTTTAGGTTTATTTAGTTTAACTATTTTATTTTTAATATTATCTTTAAGTCTTTAGTAAAATATAAAGATTTTAGTTTCTTTAATAAGGTTTAGTTAAATACTAAGTTATTTAAAAGTAGTAGTATATTTCTTAGCTAACTTAGTTTATTATAACTATATAAGATTACGTTTAGTTTAGTATCTCTTATTTAGGTCTTAGAAGAGAGATTATAAAGTATTTTTAAATTTTTAAAAACTACTATAGATATTATATATTTCTATAGAGTATTTATTTAGGGTTTTATATTTAAGGAATTTTTTTTAGATAGGTTTAAACTACTTAAAAGCTTATCTATAAAAGTAAGTAGCTATATAGATAACCTTCTCTATCTAATTAGTAAAGTTATTATAATAGAAGTTATAATAAGTCTTAATTTAGATTAAGTATAGTTTAAGTTATCTAAAAGTATTATTATAAATAATAAAGGTATTAAGCTTAAGTTTTTAGTATCTTCTAATAAGGATAGTAATAATATTAGTAGTAGCTTAAAAAGTATTAAGTTCTCTTTAGAGTTTCTAAATCTTCTTAAAGTTAGTATCTCTATAGATACTTTTTTTTAGTTTTTTATAAGCTTCTTTAGTATTTTAGAGTTATTTATTTAAGCTATTTATAGCTTACTTACTTTTATTAATAAAAGTCTATATTTCTTTAGTTTTAGCTTTTTACTTTTAAATAATATATTAGAGTTATTTATATCCTTTTTTAGTAAAGGAACCTTTTCTATTAGAGTTATACTTAAGGTTTAGTATATTATAATCCTTAATATTAGTAAGTTTTTATACTAAGCTTTAAAGCTAGTTATATAAGGAAGATAAGGATCTTAAGGTAGGAGACTTAGTAGAAATATAAGAGGATATCTTATTTATACTATTTAATAGGTATTAATAGTTAACTTACTAAATAGGAGTAATTAAAGTATTATAGTTAGCTATTTAATAGTAAGGTTTACTAATAGAAGCTAAGGATTAATATATTCTAATAGTATATTAGGTTATAGTCTAGGTTAAAGGTTATAAGCTATAGTAAATTAGGTTTTTAGAGGTTAAAGTAATTAGTCTTAAACTTAATAAGTAATTTATAGTAAAAGTAAGCTAAGAGTATCTTAAGGATAAATATTAAGTTAATTACTAAAGAGCTATAGAAGTCTAACTATAAACTAAGCTTAAGGTTATACTATATATAAGTTTTAAATAGTTCCCTTATCTAGCTATTAATTCCTAACTTAATATTAGTAAGCGTTTAGTAATTACTAGTAAACGCTTAATAACTTCTACTAAGCGCTTAGTAATCTATACTATTTACTTAGTCTTATCTTATTATTATATAACTTATATTATAGTTCTTTTATTTCTAAGTAAGTCCTTACTGTTCTTATAATCTTATAGTATAAATATCTTATCTTAGCTACCTGACGCTTAAGGTAGGTTGACTAACTATTATTCTTATTTATAGGTTGTAATATTATAGCACTTTACTAAAAGGTTTAGTAAAACTATTACTAAGCTATAAGAGCCTTAGTAACCCCTTTAGCCTTAATATAATTAGCTTTACTATATATAGTACTACTAGCTCTACGCTATATAGCTAATACTATTACTATTTTATTAGTCTATTTAGCTAGGGTATACGTTTAACTTTATAATGTTTAGAGGGTTTACTTACTAGTAGGAATATATAGGGTTTCTATACTATTTTCCTTAATTAGTAGAGGGTATAGGTTAAGGTGCCTATATAGTGTTTCTAGAATTATGCCTACGTATAGGGTGAATTTTGCCATAGTCTTTTTGTAGGGGGGCTGCGTTGTAACTATAAACTCAATTAAGCAAGAATCAGTTGTTTCCAAGGCTTCTATAATGTTTGTTTCGAGGACATGAAAACACCGTGGTAACTAAACGGTGTTCCATTAGAATAATTGCAGCGTTGTTGACCAATATGTTCAGTCGCTCAAACTTAAGATGTGACAGGCCAGCTTCTTAGAACATTTAGGCAATCACAAAACAAAATAAAATTGAACCTTCCTATAGGTTACGCCACAGGAAAAAAAGAGGAGAAGACGGTGATAAAGGAGTGCGGACGTTCTTGTCCGACAGATGTCGAATAATCCCGGCCGGTCCCACTTCTCCGGTCCTAGGGCCGGACAAATCCCACCTCCGGGCTCGTTAGCTGCGACGCCGATGGGTTTTCCATCAGCCATATGTCATTTCATCGGTTCCGACCTTCCCTAAATGGATCCTCAACGCAAACCTGATGAGCCGCATCATGCCATACTTATTTCGACTGGGTTATAAGTAGCCAGCTATTAGTCCTGAGTTCTACTCTATTTAATCACCGCAACAATCATTCCTTACATATCTTTTCCGATGCATCGTCACAATCTTTTGTCGATCTTTGGTCTCGTCCTTGTAACAAGTTCGGTAGCTCAAAATGCCCACTCAAAGTTAACACTGGATCCCACATATCGCACCGTCCCACCACCCAATGAAGACTTTCCTCAAGACCCGCATCACGTCCGGGTTGTTTCGATCATCCTCTTGGCTATATCACTCACCTTCGTGAGCATTAGTCTTAGAGAAAGCAAGCGCTGGGGCTCGATAGTCCCTACAGCCTTGACAATCGGATCTGCTACGTTTGTCTTTGTCGAAGCAATCAACTGCTACTTGGCCAACGTCTACTGGACCACGTCCCACGATCCCGGAAAACTCATGTTCACTCTACTTGGACGTGATTTCGACGTATATGTCGGCATTATTTGGTGGTCTTATGGCGCCGTCCTCAGCTGCGGCATCTTCGGCGCGTTGCAGCGTAACATCCGAACCGGAACGTTATGGGCTCTCCTCGGCTTTGCCGGACTGCTGGACATCATCCTCGAAGAATGCATGCTCATTTACGGTGGCGTTTATACCTACTACGGCCATCAGCCGCTAGTCTTCAACGTTTTCCCTTGCTGGTGGGCCTTTTGCAACGTCTCGAGCATTTTCGTCGGCATCTCCATCACTTACAGGTACCGCCACCTGCTTGAGGGGTGGAGAAGCTGCTTGGTTCCTCCGATTTTACCGCTTTGCTATGCTGGTCCGCAAGTTCTTGCAGCTCTGCCTACCATTTACGCGATTCAGGCAGATTATTCACCAATGGTTACCCAAATATGTGGCATCGTCACTTGTGCCCTTGCGGTCGTTCAAGTTGGTGTTACTATGGATACCGTCCTGGCGCGTGATCCAACGGACATCAACAAAGTTGGTCGGGATACTCAATCTCAGCTAGCTCATCAAAAGCTAGTCTGAGAGATCATCTAGACAGCTGGAATTTGTGGCAATTACGACCATTTACCTGCTTTTAGACGGAATGATAGAAGTAAACAGAAAGAGGAGAAAGACTGGAGGGACGAATCCAGCCATGTATACAACTAACCGTTCACAACTTGCCCATCCTTGGGTCTTGAATGTTATTGCTGTAGTTCACGACTGACATTTTTGCTCTTGGTTTACTCAATCCTTACCTGAATGTTATTTGGCGATTGTGAAGGACGGAGCTTTGTTCATAACAGTAGCATCTTAAGTGAGTGCTTGCTTGTTCTTATTGAACCTGATGTTTAAGGATAGCCTACGTAGAAAAGAAACAGATCAATTTCACGAGTCCATATCAACTAACGAATGTACTTGTGCCCAGTATCTTAAACTCTTCACCAACATCGTGACATACACCAACGTTGCTAGGTTTGCAAGTAACCACGAAGAAAAGAACTAGAAGTTTCCAAGAACAGTCACGTTCTTCACATCAGCACCCGTCTGCAGCACAACTTCTTCTCCTACCACCTCCTCAGCGGGGACGCCGTTGACAGTGACGTTTCCGAGGCTTTCTCCAGCCGGAACGCGCAACTTGATGCGGGTCTCGGAGGGTACGCTGCCGCCGAGAAACGCGACCTCAGCAGTGATCGTCCGGGCCGCGTTGTCAGTGAAGGTGCTAAAGTCCACACGTCCCCACCGTGTCGGCGCTCCGCGGATGCTGACTGGATCGCCCGTCGCGACCCACGCGCTCGGCAGCCCGCGGGCGAGGTACAAGACGTCGTCGTCGGGGTGCTCCAGGACAAGCGCGGCGCGCATGACCACGGGCATATCGAAGGCGGCGGGCTGGCAGTACAACCCGCCGGCGCCACTGGTGTACATGACCTTGCCGGCGATCCAGTTGCCGCGGTTGTGGATGTAGTAGCGGTGGGCGTACAAGAAGAGGACGAACTCGTCGGTCCGGTCAGCCAGAAGGAGGCCCAGGGCGTAGCCGGAGCCGATGAAGCCTAGGATGTCGCGGCTCTCCGGCTTGCGGACTAAGAGGTTGGCGAGGAGTCCAATGGAGGTGTAGTGGTTGGCTTTCATGGAATCGATGACGGTGTTTACGAGGTCGATGGGCAAAACGGCGGCTTGGAGGAGCTCTGCAAGGGCGCGATGAGCCCATCTGTTCATCGACGGCCACTCCGTGGCAAGGGAGTCTATAGCGGTGAGGTTTTGGTTCGGGAGCGGGGGAACGTAGGGCGGGTTTGCGTCCTGCCAAGTGGACGATTTGATGCTGGCGACGGTCTGGTTGAGCATCACTTCGGCGCGGTTGGTCCAGTCGGCAGCATACTCGGAGAACATCTCCAGACGGCTCAGGTCCCGCAAGCCTCGAACCGCATATGCTTGATTGTTGAAGTAAGGCAGGTTGTAGTATGTAGGATGGACTATGACGGAGTCGGACTCGCTCCATCCGTGAATCAGGCCGTAGAAAGGATCAGAGGGGTCCAGTGCCAGACTCTCATCGTGGCGGGTCGTAAGGATGTTAACCCACGCCAGGATCTTGTCGCGATAGGTTTCCAGCAAAGCCGTGTCGCCCGTGTAATCGACATACAGTGTCAAAAACGACAAGGACTTGCCAAACTGAGGTATCTCGCCGCCACGCATATCAATATCGCCTGTGTCCGACACGAAGTCACGCAAGTAGTTTTCGGTAACAGCGCGAGCTTGGTCAAAGCGCCCCCAGAGGAGGTTAGCGTAGAGCGAATTGGTGAAGGTATCTTGGAAGCCGTCAATCTCTGACCCGACGTAAGGACGGTCGTAGGCGCCGTATTTCGGGTACACCCCGTCGGCGTAACGCTGCACGAGTTCCATGCCAAAGGCGTGTTTGGTCAGGTCGGCCCAGCTGGAGTCAGGCAGGTCAAGTTCGATAATATCAGCGAGGTGCTCTTCCCAATATGTGCCAAAGCGTAACAGCGCGCCATAGAAATCAGCAGAAGAGGGCTTCGGGCGTGCGGGCAGGTCTTCGGGATAGTCGTACGCGAAGACGCGGCTTTCTACTTTCCCATTGACCACAAAAGTGGTCCGGTACCAAACATGGACGATAATGGGCTCGTTGGAGTCGACATCAGCAAAGGCAATGGATTCGGCCCAGTCCTGGCCATCGGGCCCGCGGCGGAAGACCTTGCGAGAGCCGGGCCGCCAGCTGCCCAGCAGGCCATCATAAGTCCAATTGTTGTATTCTGGGTTTCCAAGGATGTCTTTCTCTTGGAAGTCCAGCGGAAAGTAATTCCAGGTTCTTGCGTCCGCCCGCACGGTCAGGGTATCATTGGCCTGGACGTTGCCGAGGAAGGTGTCCCAGCCCGCTATGTTGGGGAACGGCAGGACGTCTCGGACAGCAGCCTCATCAGGCTCCCCGTCTTTGAGCAGCGCGTCGGCGAGCAGGTCATTCGGTGCTTGGTTGACATCGGCTGGCTTCATGCCCATGAACAGAGGCACGGTTGAATTGGCCCGAGTTTTGGTAGCTTCAAGGCGCGTAGCAAATCGTTTCGTCAATCCAGTTTCGGGTACCAGGACAATTTCGCCTCCGGGCTCCGACAAGTCCTCGTAGACAGTCCAAGACATGCCATCGAAGGTGAAAGTGTCGGTGATTGTCAAGCCCTCCGAGGCCGTTGTGTTGGATGCCAAAGCAGGGACAGTCAATGCCGAGAGGCAGGATATGAATTTCAAGACTTGAAAAGCTCGCATTTTGACCAGCTTGGCACGATTGATTTGTCTCTGCTGACAATGGATGTTGACACCGGAGACATGACGCCCTTTATACTTGTCCTTGTGCTTCATGATGTTGGACTATACAAAAGTACTCGAGGTTTAGGCTCTTGCCCAACACCCCGCCCCGGCTAATTGTCAGTTGTATCATCGACGTAGTATTCAGAACTTACCGCGTGATGTGTCGGAGAAAACAGACGCGAACTTCGAGGTTCATCCTCTGATAACCAGTCAGAAGCGATGCAACTAGTGTTCTTAGACGGTGTTGGGATCGTCTGCTCTCAGTTGAAGTCGTGCTCGAAACGTAATAGTTTAAATGGTACGAGTTGTGAAGAGGGTAAATGTTCTCCCGGCAAGCCATCCGCTCCAATCGCGAAACTCGTTTGCAGGTTGTAGGAGTTGGTAAACGTCAGTGTCACCTTTCGCCACAAAGATCATCGCAATTGTAACAGCATGCAGCTGAGGGGCAAGACCGGCTTTGTTGCTTCCAGTTTCTGAGAGCCCAACCGTCGTGCACCTTCAAAGAACCATGCCATCCTCGAGACATGTAAGTGAACGAGATATGATGGGTCTTGTTCCCAGATTGCAGACTTTTTTTATTTTTGTTTGCTTTTTCTTTTTGGAAAGGGGAGAGGGAGGCAGGAGGGAGGGAGGAGGGGCGCGAGAAAGGACGGGAGCAGCCAATGGTAGACAATCAGTTGCCCCATCTTGCTTGACAACTACAGCGTAGCATATTCTGTGAAGAGATCGCCTATTTTTCTTGTGCTAGAGCAACTGATTTCCCTGTAGCTATGCTCCCTCGTCGTCACTTCTAACGTCGTCATTATCGTTGTAGTTATCCTCGTCCAAGTCCGTGCTATCGCTATTATCGCGTTGAATAGGGGTGATTAAATGCACGGGAAGTATAACCGCGCAGACACACGAAAGTTAGGCGGTCTCTTTGTGAATGGCTCCGTCACTTCCAATCTCAGGGGTTTTGTTAGATGAACAGTCCATTCATGGAAGTTGCTTCACAGGTAGGTACCTAGCTGTAACCCGCTTGATGTCTCAGTGACGACACCCCCTCCCCCTCCTCTTCATGCATAGCGCGACAAAAGCGGGATAATGTCGGGTTGCCGCGGCGGAAAGGATGTTTTTTCTTCATTGGTTGGAAAAGACGGACTGCTTGACTATGCGGTTATAAACAGAAGGAAATGCCTGCTAGATTTATCACATTATGAATATTTGCGTTTCTGGTGTGCCGACATTGGACACGACTACTCTGTGGTGGCTCGGACGCAAGACCGCTTGGCCGAGTCTGGCAATCTAGACGTGGGAGGTCTAAAGTAATCGTTGACTCTGCCAAGACTTCAGTGGATGCACAGGGAGATGTGCAGGGGTCTTGATTTATAAGTGATGTGGATAGCTGGGATATTTCAATATGTGGAGCGGCATGGAGGGTTTCCTGCTTGCTAGAGGTATTGCGATGAGGTATTGCGATTGGGAGATGCAAAGCTCGGTTTCGCTCTTGTCTTTCTTCCCTTCTAACTTTTCTTCGCCCTTTATGCTAGCATCAAACAGGTATAAAAGACCCGCCAGTTTGTTTTTCTAAAGTCCTGTCGTGTAGGTTCTTCCACTATCCTCAAACACATTCTCCTTGATTCATCAAGAACTCGCATCAAACGTAATTCGCCTATGTTAATCATGAAGCTCTTTCTGTTCAGTTGCTTCTTTGCCCTTGCGGCATCCATACCACATAGCGTTCCCCCGAAGCCTCGCTTCGATGTTGGAGGCATGATTACCATGATTGAAGACTTCTTTCCAGCTAATCAGACGCTTTCGTTCAACACAACTGGTATGGACCAAGCGTGGGCCCAGATTGCGAGCAACTTCAGTCTCTCTGTGGAAGAAAACAGCCTACAGAAGGACCGCTGCGCCGACATCATGGTAGTATTCGCCCGCGGCACGTACGAAATCGGCAACGTCGGCGTTCTCGTGGGGGCACCTTTCCTGCAGGTGCTCCGAGAGCTAGCTGCCCCAGGCCTCACCATCGAGATGCAGGGCGTCGAATACGCCGCGAACATGACGGGCTATCAACTTGGAGGGGATCCAGAAGGGTCTCAGAAAATGTATTTGAGGGTCTAACCACGACCGAATCATCAGTCGCTGACAAGTTACATCGCAGGGCGGACACAATCTTGACGGTCCAAAACAAATGTCCAAGAGCGAAGGTGGTCGTATCTGGATACTCACAAGGAGCTCAGCTCGTACACAACGCTATGAAAAAACTGAAGAATACAACTCTCGAGGGAATTGATGCTGTGGTTACTTTTGGCGATCCCCTGTATCCTCGGATCCCCGAAGGTGTTCCCGGCTGGAAGATGCTCTCTGTATGCAACGCAGGAGACGGGGTCTGCAGACCTGGCCGAACCATCTCTTTGTCCCACATTAGTTATGTTGAGCGGCTCTACGAAGCAGCCACTTTCGTTGTGTGAAAGCAAAGTTAGTCAGGGATAGTTGTCGATAACTGGATAGTCCGCTGTCTACGCTTTATCGGACGGTGAGAAGATAAGTCATTAATAAGCAACACTTCAAGAAGACAGATCTTGTTGATTGACAATGCGCCACGGAGTGTAGTGATGTGGTACGTGGTTTAGTACTTCTCAACTGATTGACCTAGTAATATAGCCCCTGTAGACAAGGCTTGGTTAGTCGGTCGGTTGTGCTAAGAAGGTTTAGACAACCCATGAACAGGGGTGTGTGGATTACGACCTCCACAAGTTAGTGCGGTAATTGACAAATGAACCGCCGCGCGCGTGTTAATCAGCAGTTTTTCTTCTCAGACCGTCCGGAATCAGTCTTCGTGCAATGTTGCTGTGTTATGGCAGCGATTAACTCGGATGAGGAGAAAAGTAGTAATCTTCACTTAAGCTTATGAGTTGCCCCGTCTTTCTCGACCTAAGGTACAATAAGCACATTGGCGTGAATGGCACCGTCACTTCCAATTTCAGAGCCTTTTTTTTTTCCCCTGTATTGCTCTGTCATGGAAGCTCGCGGAAGTGGCTTCCCAAGTTCGTGCCTACCCGCATGATGTCTTGCGAGACCCCCTTCCTTCCTCCCGAACATGAACTCAGGCACACTCAAAGTCTTCACCTTTCTTCTCGCAAACGCGTCAACGACATGTCCCGACCTCCACCCGCGTCCCAATTACCACCGCATCGCATCAAATCATGATCAGCACTCGCAAGAATGGCTGATCGAGACGTAAGTGGACCATCTGATGGTTGCATTTCCCACGACTAATCGAATCGCCAGAGCCAAATTCACAACGCTTTGATGTGTGCCACGTCGCTCGATTCTCGCGAGAGAGAGATCGCAATCGAGGCCTGGCTCCTCGCCAAAAGGTCTCACGACGCCTTGACGTCGGCATGGACTGCCTCAAAAGAAAAGGTTCGGCTGGCAAAGAACGCCGCCGAAGCCAACGAATACTGGGCCAAGTTCGAGGGCGTGAGGGCACAGTACGCCTTGATTGATAAGGTCGCCCAGCAGAAGGAGCAGTTGGCGCGAAAATGGAGGCCGGCGGAGGTAATTAATATTGACGATGACAAGGGGGACTCTGCTCGGGGAGATGGTGCTCGAGATAAAGCTACAGAAGAAGCATCTACCGAGGCTGTCGAGATTCGCAACATGAATCCGCAGAAACCCTTGCGGACCAGCGACGACATTAGTGCCGGCTGCAAGACTTCCACCTCAGCCATACCGCAGTTGAGTCTCGACGAACTCCTGCGGTCGACCGTCTCCATTCGTGGACATCGAAAGAAGCAAGGGACCAAGCGGCGAGCGGAAGAAATTGAAGACAACCCCTTGTCCGTCAAAAAGACAAGCTCAAAGCAAGTCTGTTCAGCGGCTACGAACAAACAAGCTACGGCACAAACATCCCATGAGCCCGAGAAGCCAGCAAGTCCGAGAAAGGTGTTCATGAGGATCCCAGATCAAAAGAAGCGCCAAAAGTCGTTGGACTAGCTCTCCAAAGAACCTGAAAAGTTATTTGGTTCCAGGTCATCATCGAAAGCATCACGTTGAAACACATTCCCATCACTTTTCGGCCAGGAATAAACGGAGATGTACGCGATAGTATCGCCATGGCTCCGACATGGAGCGGCATTATCCCTAGCCGTACGTCAAATGATGACGAATATTATGACAAAGATACCCGCCGACGCGAAGATGGGATTGCCTGGATAGTATTCGGTAACGTCGCCTCGGCGGCAACGGGCAACTCGGAACGAGTACGCCAGCCGGATCGTATACCGAGGACAAGACTCGCCTGACAGGTGTCAAAAAGGAAGGATTAGAGATGGCATTTATTGAACGGGTTTGTGGGCGGCGGGTTCGCAGCTGCGCATGGGCGGTTATCCCAGGTCAGAATACATGCGAACGGCTTTTGCATGTAGTAATGCATTCGTGTCCAGCAATAGCATATGCGATATGAATTTCAGAAACGATTCAGTGTGCAGCTTCCGTACATGGAAAGGACAGCGAAGTTTCGTTTCCAGGTTCCCTGCAGTAGGAAGATGGGATTGACGACGGACGTAGGGCGGAGAGTGGCTGGGGGTTCCCGAGTTGCATGACTCCATCGCGTCCGTGTGCGATATTCAAACGGCAGATTGTGGCTGGGCAAACACATTTAAAGCAAGCGGAAAGAGAGTTATGTCAGCACCTTGACATGGCAAAGAACAAATGGAAGGAGAATTCCCATGAAGCGTCGGGCCGAGGGCGAGGAATCCGGATGTCTCCAGCAGCAGGTCCCGGTCACCAAGGAGAGGGACGCCAATGTCTCAGTCATCGGCCAGCCGTCACGGCCATCGGGCCAGAATAGACGGGAACAAGCACAGAAGACAGGAGAAAAGAATGGCGACGCTGTCGTCGGACTGACAGCGTCGCAATGAGGTTCGTCTGGTCTGAGACTCGTCCGACCCCCCGGAGCATTGGCCCCTGGGCGTAGCAGTAAGGGCCCCCTGCGAAAACCCCACGATGGACGGGAAGTGCTTGGCGTCCTTCAGGATAGCCAAGTGCGCAGTTCCAGGTGTGCTGACCGAGGCGTCCACAGCGCTCCATTGGAAGATGCCCGGTGAGATGCCCCGCTGGAGGAGAGCTCTAACTGCTGTTGTGGGTGCTGAGGCCCCCTGGAAACCGGGGCTACTGCGGGCGGAGCGCAGTGCCGAAGCAGCTGCAGGGGCATCACGGGTTGATCTGCGCCAGGGCCAATTGGACGAGAAGGCCTTCTTCCATCACTCGCACACATCATTCGCTCGCGGGACCGCATTCGGGAAGCAACAAGACGGATGCTTTGTTGCATCTGCATCCCCAAACCAGCCCCCCTCGCCTCCCCCCGAAAAGCCAAGACTCTTCTGCAAGCCAGCCAGCCAGCCAGCCAGACATGCATCATCTCCAGCACATCTCCGTCGCTGGGCCGTCTCTCAAAAGGGCCGCCCTCCTCACCGTGTCCGGCCCAACGAGCTGGATGTTCTTCTTTCTTTTTCCGCTCCCTGCTTGCTGTTGTGCATTTCGACATTTCACTCCGCCGGTCGTGGGTTGAAAGGGCGGCGGCGATCATCACATCTCATCTCCTCCCATCTCATCCTCCCTCCGTCCCGACTATCTACTATCTGTCTCCTGCATACGACGGACGACCTACCGTCTGTTAATGTCATCTTGAGTCCGTCCGAAATAGAATCATACCCTGTCCCCGGCCACGTCGTCTAGTCCGACCTGCCTGCCCATGAATGATCGCCGATTCGATTCAGCTGAAAACAGCCCTCCAACCTGCTTCACACCAACTCCGGACGCTCTGCCTCTAATATCAAGAATACCACCCGACAACACACCCGTCTGCGACTGGGCCTGCCGCGTTTCGTCTCGTCCCCTTCCTCGTTTTAGGCTCGCTCCAAGGTTTTCGGCTGCCATCAGTGCCATCCTACCTTAATATTACGCTTGCCTCATATTTTACCTTATACTTCCCGCCTGAGACATACACCGCATCGGGGAAACAGCCCAAAGGTCTTATTATCACATCCATTTTGTTTTTTTTCGTCTCTTCCCTTCCGGCTGGCGTGTGTCTTGAACTCATTTCGCTCTGCACCAGAGTCGTCGTCACTGGCATGCCAGAGAGTTTACCTTTGAATAATCTGTCCCGGGCGAAGTTTGAAAAAACGACACGCAGAACCAAGAATAACGAGAACGAACAACTCAACATCTCGCGACAAAGTTGATCAGTATACTCACAATACAGCGATGATCAAGACCATTCGGCCGTCGCCATCTTCACCCCTCCCCGCTACCGACCGATAATTCAGTCTCTTTTTTCATCTGTTTTTCCCATCGTCGGATTCTCTCGTTCTCAACATCAACCAGAAGGGCAGACAAAACACACACACAGACACGATGGAACGTCCCCACCGTCCACCACCGCTCACGATCCCCCCTCCACCCCGACACCGGGCCCGAGTCCGCCGCTCACGACGCCCGAACCACCGACAAGCCCGCCAATTCAAGCGCTGGCTCCTCCGTGCGCAAATCGCAAACGATGTAGCGCACGTCGCCGCCGCGAGCATCTTGCTATGGATCATGTCCTGGTTCTTGTACAACGTGCCATTCCCCTTGACATATCGCACAGGGTAACTACCGCCTCACTCTCTCACACAGTTCTCACCATGACCAACGACACTAACACTCCCTCAGGCCCGCCGCAGTCGCCCTCATCATCATGCTCTCCACAGACATCCTCCTCGACGCCCGATCAATAGTCCACGCCCACGACCCCTGGCCTGGCTGGGCCCTGCTCCTGCGCCTCGCCCTCGGCCTCGGTTTCATCGCCGTCTTCGCCGTCTACATCGCCCTCGGCGGCGACGTCTTCGCCCCGGATTTCGAGTACTGGGGCATGTCCGACGCCTACGGCCGCGTCCTCGCCTACATGTTCCTCTGGGGCCTCGGCCTATGGAACCTGCTCTTCGTCGTCCTGTGCCGCCACTGGCTCGCCAAGGAGGTGAAGCGCTACTCGGGCGACGCGCGCGAGCTCTTCACCGGCGGGCGCGCGCCCGGCGAGAGCGCGCTGCGGCTGGGCAGCAGCGCCGGCGAGGAGATGGGTGCCGCGCCGCCGCCGCCGCAGCGGGAGGTGGACCTCGAGGCGGCGCGGTTCGTGAGGGAGGAGTCACGGAGGGAGGGGGTGGTGAATGTGCCGCTGCCTGTGCGCATGGGCACGCGGAGGGTGAAGGACAGCGTGGGCGGGGTGAGCGTCTCTGCGGATTCGATCGCGAGCGGGAGCACGAGTCCGCCGCCCGTGGCCGTCACGAGACCTACATGACCCCTGCCCTATTCTCACACGGAGGAGGACGGAAAAAAAGTAATCAGTTAGACGTACACAGACATCACATAACATAACTCCATAATGATAATGCAAATATATCCTGACAGCGGCATTGAGCAAGTGGAGATGCTGTCTGTCGTTCATTGCAGTCATTCAATGCATTCGTTTTTTCATGGGATGACAGACAACGTCCGCCCGTCTGATTTTGGGGTTACATACGCCGATGGTCCCATCGGACTTGCCTTTCGTCCCATGTTTTTTTGAATTGTTCGGATTCGCGCGATCAGGGAATCGAGATTTGGGGAGAAGCTTGCTCCCGTGGAAACGTCGGATGTTGCAACTGCTGCGGTGATGCAATGCCGTGAGTCGTGGCGGGGGGTATATCAGTGCTGGACTAAGACGTCTGCGAGCGACGACGAAGAGAGACGGCGGCGGCGGACGACGACGACAGCGGAAGACGACGACAAACAACGACAAGGGCATTGACACAGGATTACAGCAGCCACGGCACAAGGCAGGAGGTGCGTTCAATTATTCAGCCGCTTTTTGGGTATCGATTCTGTGCTACTCTTATACCTAACTGTCGACATCTAACACTAGAACCAGGACGCCAGCTTTCGGGCTTCCGGATGGTTGGTGTAAAGCTCAGCATCGGCAGCCGCTGATAGACTCGTCCTTGTAGAGCGACCGCGGCGTTGCGGCTGCGCGGGAGGTACTACCACAGCGGCGGCCCTCGTAGCTTCCGTCATTGTTGCTGCTGTCGTCTTCGTCGTCGCCGTCTTCGTCGTCGCCGTCTTATTCGGGCCCTTATTCGCCTTGCCTCCCCTATTGGTACTCTTGGCTCTAGACTTGGCCGTCCTCGTGGCCGCCTTCGTGGCCGCTCCGGCCCCCGTGTACCTTGGGATCTTGCTCTTTCCCTTGCTGCTTCCCTCACCGTTGTCGATGTCAAGCTCAACGACAGGCACAATCGAGATAGCCTTCCCCTTTCCCTTTGCCTTGCTGCTGCCCTCGCCATTGTCGAGTTCTATCGGCTCAGTCGCCGATCCCGCAGGGGCTGATTCCCCCTTCAACTTCGCCTTATTGCTGCTAGTGCTGGTACCCAGGTTCTGGGCTGGCTTCTGGGCTGGCTTCTGAGCGGTAATCCTGGCAACCGCCTTTCCCTTCCCCTTGGTCTTACTGCTGGCACTGCCCTCATCGCCGTCGTCGACATCCATCTGGTGCGACTGGGCATTCTAAACCCTGACCGGCTGTGCCACTTGCTTTCCATTACCATCAACAAAGAAATGGCTGAATGCCTCCTCGTCGTTATCGTCCTCCAGATAATGTGAGTCTTCCTTCTCCGGGGGCAGGGTGGCATAGAGTCCTTTTCCTGCTTTGGGCCAATTAGGGTGAAGATAATCGTCCTCGTTGTCCTCTGGTACAGCATCGGCCTCAGGGGCGGTCGTCAACTGCAAAATCGGGCGCACACCACCCGGCTTGGAGCGTTGCTTGGAACGCTTGGGTGGCAAGCGGTTTCCAGTGCCGTTTGCGAGGACGTCCGTACGAGAGCTTTCGGGTTGCTGCTAGAATGTTAGCAGTCTGAACCTCCGAGACAGCAAGGGGAACATACCGCCCTCGGCTGAGCCCAGTCTGGCGAGCGAAAGATCGGAAGATCTGGCTGCTTTTTGGACACCGAAACAAGAATGTCCACCAACAGGCCAGGCTTGATTTGCTCACTGAAAGACAGTAGATTTAGCAAGTCGGTCCTACGGAGTTCCTCGAAATACTCTCTCCTCTGTTTTTGGGGTCAGCGCTCGCTCTTGGCGTTTCATCCAGATCACATACCGCATCAGTACTGGCATCGCCAGCCCCGAATCCTACCAGCTCAGGCTTGATGAAATCCGGCAGACCCTCGAGATTCCTCGACCTCATTCTCTCCACTTCGGCCCGCTGCTTCTTCAGATCGGATTGCTGCTGCTTGGCCTCGCGGTACTTAACCAGTTTGGCTTGGTAGTTAGCCTGCGCCTTGTCTTCGACGACGCAAGTGCTGCACTTGAAAGAGGAAGGGTTGCTGGCTGTTTCCTCGGAGACCTGGGGATCGTGACAGAGCTGGTGCCAGGCCTCGCCGCAGCCACAAGTGATGATTAGGTTTGCGGCAGTATCTGAGCTGCGCTGGCACTTCACACACATGGAAGAATCCTTGACGCGTTTCCTTTTGGCAGGCGGTTTCGGGGGCTGTATGGCAACGGGCTGAGGTTCGTCTCGGGGTGTGGGGCGCGTTGGTGGCCTGCTGTCATGCTCGTCTGATCCTCGCTTTCTCTTGCCCACACTAGGGGATGGCACTTGATTGGCATGCGTGGCGGCTCCTGCGGTAGGTCTGGGTGACGCTGTCGGCATTGGCAAAGTTGTAGATGTGCTAAGCGTCTCCACGAGTCTGCGCTTAACGTCCTCGTAAGTTGCCTTTGCTGGGGCGGACAGCTGGGCGGTGGTAAAGCCCAGGGACGGGGAGTTGCTTCCAATGCCGTTCTCATTCTTTATTCGACTCAGAATTTGTTTGGTTGAGGCTGTAAACTGCGGGGTATATCTCGAAGGCGTCGGCGATTTGCCCTCGTTCTTCGAAATTGTAGGAAACGGTCGGCTTGGGTCGGCTGTGGCAGGCGTGGACACGACGCCACTACCAGTCTGGATAGTTGATGTGGCGTTCGAGGCCTGCACGACTTGAGCACGCATCGCGCTCAACTCGTCAGCCTTTTCCTGCTTGATAGCCCACAGGCGGGAGGCGTCGTCGAGCATCGTATTGTCCATGGCGTATATAGATGCAAGTAGATGTATTGAGGGCGGGAGGTGGTTAAGTCGGATGGTCTGAAGAAGGTGGAAAGCTGGGTCGCGTGACTTTCACGTGACCTGGACCGTGCCCACCGAGCAGTGGCAGGTACGTACTCACTCGGTCACTCGGTGAGGTCAGATCCTCACAAGGTGGGTTAAAAACGCAGTGAAATAAGCGACTGCCCCGAAAAGGCAATCCCCCGGTGAGATCGCCTACCCTTACTATTTGTTACTATCGAAGACGATAGGAGAAGTGATAACAATAGCGACGACCACGACAGCAGGCGACGACGACGACGACAACAAGCGACGACGACGACGGACAACGACAATAACGATGACAACAACGATAGCATTGACGACGGCAAGGTCGAGTACAATTAATCACAGGCAATACAGCCGCTCAGACACATGATGCATAGGTGGTCTAATTCCATCAAAATGAGCAAAATATCTCTGGGCAGGAAGGATTCTACACCGATGGCTTGCCAATGAAACCACCGTACGGATTTGACCAGGATTATGCTTCGGTATAGAAGATACGTACTTTTCGGTCAGTTTCGGTGAGGCCACAAACCCTTCAGAGTAGGTTAAGAATGCAGTGAAGTTAAGGCAGCAAACCTTTGGAGACAACCTCGTAGCTCGTGAAAGGTGGCGCTAGGTAAGCCACATCATCGTCTTGGGCGGGCTTATTATTGCAGTGAAATAAACGAGTCGTTCTTACATAAGAAACCATGGTCATCTTGCCTAGTTCCGGGACGTGCCTTGGTTCGTATAATTTTGAAATCACAATTCTAGAAGCATTCTATGAAGATGGCTTTCATCGGAACCATCGCACTTCTATCAATCTAATGCACGTGGATTACAGTGGTTGGAACCAAAAGCGCTGAGAAAGAAAGGCGGCGTCGCGTGATGCTACCCGATCTGCACTCACAGAGGGCAACTTACGTGATGGTTCTGTCAATCACGGTCAGGTAATAGCCTCTCGGGATGGGTTAAAAATGCAGTGAACCTAGAGTGAGAACAAAGCTAGAAGGAATGCATTAATTCCCAGTTTCCCTGCCCAATCAGGATTCCGGAGTACTATCACACCTGGTGAGGGCCAAACTTCCTTACCACCATTGCCTCTACCCAATAACACCATCCCCCTTCAACTCCCCAATCCTCTCCTCCGGCAACCCCAAATGCTCCCCCAGCACCTCAGCCGTATGCTGCCCCAGCGTCGGCGGCGCCGTCCGCACACCCGGCTCGCTCTCCGAGTACTTCACCGGCGTATTCACCATCCTCACCGGCCCGCACGCCCCGTGCTCCATCTCGACGACCATGTTGCGCGCCTTGGTATGCGCATGCTCCAGCGTGCCCTGCACGTCGTTGACCGCCGCGTACGGCATGCCACGCCCCTCAAACACCGCGAGCCACTCCGCTGTCGTCTTGGTCACGGTGACGGCCTCGATCTTGCCCTCGAGCTCGACGCGGTTCGCCACGCGCTGCGCGTTGGTCTTGTATTTTGCGTCGTCTGCCCACTCCGGCCGGCCCAGTCCCTGGCAGAGGATGCCGTAGAGCCGGTCGTTGCCGCCGCCGAAGAGGATGTCGCCGTCCTTGGTCTTGAAGGACTTGTACGGCACGATCGATGCTGGCCGACAGTGTTAGCTAACCCACACAGAGATCGGGGTGTGGACCCAAACGTCACTCACGATGCGCAGTCCCCCACCGTCCCGAGTCCTTCTCCCCACTAACCAAACAACTACTGGCAATATTCGCCAACGTCGCCGTCTGGCAATCACTCAGCGCCACATCAATATGCTGGCCCCGTCCCGTCCTCCCCCGTGCCAGCAGCGCCGCCATGATGCTGTTACTAGTGTACAGCCCCGTCGTCAGGTCCGTCACCGCGACACCCACCTTGACCGGCTCCCCGCCGCGGCTGCCCGTGATGTGCATCAGCCCGAACTCCGCCTCGACCATGACGTCGTACCCCGCGCGGTCCGAGTACGGCCCCGTCTGGCCGTACCCCGTGATGGACGCGTAGATGAGCCCCGGGTTGATGGCGCGCAGCGTCGCGTAGTCGAGCTGGTACTTGGCGAGCGTGCCGGGGAGGTAGTTCTCGACGAGGATGTCGCACTTGGCGACGAGCTGGTGCAGGATGGCGATGCCGTCTGGGTGTTGGAAGTTGAGGCCCAGCGACTTCTTGTTGCGGTTGACCTAAAGAGCAATCAGCATTTGGGTTCATGAGAACGAAGGCTGAGTGAAGATTACGGCGAGAAAGTAGGCAGATTCACCGGGGCCTTGCTTGCCAGAGTCCGCCTTGTAAGTTGCGTACGGGGGGCCCCAGGCGCGTGTGTCGTCCCCCCTCGTGGGATGCTCGATCTTGATGACTTCGGCACTGGTGATGTCAGTGAAATGAGCGGACACCCTTGTCCAGAGGATGAGACTCACCCGAGATCGCCCAGAATTTGAGTGCAGTATGGCTGTTCTCATCTCAGCATGATCCTGCGTGTTCTCATGAGAAATAGATGACTTACTCCGGCCAAGACTCTTGTCATGTCAAGCACGCGATAGCCGTCCAGAGGCAGCTTGCTGCTCGGCACTGAAGAGTACTGACGCCATGTCCGAGGGAAGCGTGACGCCCTCAAGGGTAGTCGCGTAGCCCTTGAAACTATACGGAACGGAACTCCAATCGAAAGGCTGCTCATTTTGATCGTTGACTGAATCCGTCAGCCTATGCGGGGAAGTCAATTGAGGGTTGAATACGGGGAAGCTGGTTTCCATCAGAGCTCCGACCCCGGTCTAGCTCCGGTCCGTTGGCGGGGGTTCCGTTGCATCACCTCGGCATTGTTCTGGTAGTGGTATGTATTATGTCATCGAGCACGGACCAAGACTGTGACTTGTGCTGCATCGTATTGACCTTGATTCTAAACTGCAACGAAGAAATGTATGTCTGATTATGCTGTGTCCCATCCCAAAACACCAAACCGGAACGCCATGACCTGATAACAACTAGTTTGAGGGAAGGGTGTCGAAAGCCTTCTTATCATAGCCCCATTCCTTCTCAACGAGTTTACCTTTAGCATTGTAAAGAAATCTGTAGGCAGTCTTGATGGTTCCGTCGCTGACGCCGGCCACGCCAGCGATGGCCTTTGAAGTCTTGGGCTCCGCCATCAGGTGAGCCGCCATGTAAATACACGCGGCCGCGACAGACAGCGGGGAACGTCCAGCAAGCTCAGAAACGCTCGAAGTCTTACGTGCAAGCGCCCGAGAGACGTTCTCAATCTTTTGGGCGTTGCGGAAGTTGAGGTTGGAGCAGAAACGCGTGCAGAGGTCCTCGGCGCTGGTGGAGGCACTAGCCTTGTAACCATCCAAGTTCGACAGGGAGCCAGCACCGCGGGGGTTCTCCTCCTTGATCTTCTGGAGGAACGACTCGAGCTGCTTGAACACCCTTCCAATCTCCTTCTTGGATACGTGTGTGACCTGGAAGATCTCACGGAAGGTACGACCGACTCCGGTTTGACGGCAAGCGATGAAGATGCAGCCTGCAATGACAGCTTCTTGTGGCTTGCCTTTCATGAAGTTGTGGTCGTAGGTGAGCTTGAAGATGTGCTTGGCGGCGTCAGAGACGTTCTTGCCCAGGTTGATACTGTCGCAGAAGGCGCCAATCTCCTTGTATGCCTGCATGAGCGACTTGCTAGCCTTGTCGTTCTGGGACTTGTTCTGCAGACGAGCAAGCTGCTTGGAATCCCTGCCGTCACCAAAGGCGATGGTGGTCTCGAGCTGAGAGCCATTGAGGAGAGGGTTGACTGCGTCACCGACACGGGACGGATCGTCGTTGCCCTGGTCGTCATTGGCGAACGTACGCCACTCGGATCGGGTGTCGATGATGCGCTCGCCGACAACAAGTCCGCAGGAGCCGCAGACCATGTCTCCGGAAGAGAACTCCTCGACCAGGTTGGGCGGGTACTCCTTGCAGTCGGGACACATCACAACCATATTGAGATCGTCCCGAAACCCTTCGGCATTTTCATTGTCGCTGGGAAGCATCTTGGGCTTGTACTTCTTGGGTGTATAGATGTTGTTGTTTTCGTCAAAAACCTTGCGGCGACGCCTGAGCTCCTTTCTTCTACGCCGGAGTTCTTGCCGCTTGTTGACGACCGCCTTGTGGTTGCCTGATGGTTCTTTGACGGTGTGTGCCTGAGTCCAGAGGAGGTCGTTGGTGAGTTGGACAAAGAGCGGCGAATGCAGCTTGGCGGTGTTTAAAGCAGTCGCGGTGCTGGTTGAGACGGTCGCGATTGCTGGTCAGAGCGATCGCGAGTGCCGTTCGGGGGGGTCGCGGTTGTCGTTTCGGACGATCGCGGTTGGTATTCGGGGGGCGGTTGCTGTTTACGACGACCGCAGGTGCTGTTTAGGATTCGAGATGCACTTCTCGAGTCCTGCTTGACGAAGACGACGTTGTGTCAGGGAATCCTCAGACGGCTGATCGCTATTTCTTTGTTGAACGGCGGTAGACTCGTTCAGCGGGGAAGCTGCGAATGCGCTGGAGATGCCCTACAAAACATTTCAGGTGAGCCATGGTTCCTGACTTTCGGCAGGAAAGTTTTCCTCTCTCACCAATTAAGACGACGGTGGTAAAGTCGCAGGAGAGGATGAGGGCTCGAGAAGATTCGAGGAGAGAGGGAAAGTAGAAATGCAAAAGTGTCCTCCTTTCTTGCCAGCCGACCGATTTCTACCAGTGAAGGCGTCCGAGAGTGGCGAAACAAAGAACCACCCGAGTCCCAGTTCCCAGTCCAGATCACGGAGCAGTCGGCTCGAAGGGGTCGTATGCGACGGTTCGCAAAATGATTGCTTTCAGAAGACGCAGGGCCGAAATGGGCGATGAGGCTTCCGAGATGCGGTTTTGCGGTGCTGCAGACGATCTTCGTGAAGGCGAGAGAGCGAGTGACGTTGGTGGGTTGTAGGGGGGAAAACCTGAGCCTCTGTTTCGGGTTGAGGATGCCACACTTTAGCCTTCCATCTGCTGGAGCCTAGCGAAAGACAGGTAAGGCGGTAGGATGAGTCAGCTGAGGCCTCATTTTAAGTTCAGGCTTTTCAGTGGCAGGCACTACCCGTGGACCATCACGTGGGGCTCCTTCACCTTCAGGTTTGTCAGCTTATGGAACACGTCTGGACCTGCGATTTTTGGTCCACCGAAGCTTCCAGGTTACTAGCAAAAATTGCATCCCACGATATCTTGACATCTTGAATACCTTGCAGTCATTCTCTATTCCCCAGAGATTTACAAACAAAAGAAATGAACGTTCTGAATATGTTCAGCGTTGGGTATCAATACAAAAGAAAAGAAGGTAAAGAAAGATACATGAATCTCATGATGAGAGACAGACAGACACGCCATGTCCGGCGCACTCCATCAAAAATCACCATGCTCCCCGCCGTTTAATCCCACCAAATCAAATACCAGGGCGCCTTGAATGCATCGTCTCCTGACAGGCCACCGTCATCCACCTCACTGCAAATAAACCGGCGCATCAGACGGCCTCGGCAGCGGTGGCAACGCCCTCGACACGTCACTGCCACTGCCGGTGGGCATGTAAACCACCACCGGCGTAGCAGGTGGGGGCACCGGTTTCCTGATCAGCGCCCGCGTCGGCGACGGCGTCCTCGATCGCGGGGGCAACGGGATCTCCACCTCCACGCCCGGATGTGGCTCCGCGTACGCTCTCTGCCGCCTGCTGCTGTCCGCCGAGGACACGCACGAGGACGATGACTCCGAGTCGGACCGCGCCCGCCGCGCCTCGCTGGGTGCCCACTCGCTTCCCATCATCGCCTGGTCATGCTGGTTGTGATACTGCTGCTGTTGCTGGAGGATATCGCGGTGCTCGCACGGCGGCTCCGGCATCCTCGCCAGCGCCGCATGCCGCCGCAGCGTGCCCAGGTCGAACGTCTCCTCGTCCTCCTCGCTGGAGGAGCCGCGGCTGGTGGACCGCGAGGGCGTCTTGCTGGCGAGCGACTTGCGGATCATGATGCTGCGCTGCAGCTCCTCCTCCTCGAGGCGCTCGAGGGCGCTCAGCTTGCGCCGCCGCGTGAACTCCTTGCGGGTGAGGTACGGGTCCCGCTTGCACGCCTCGCGGAACTGGCGGTTCTTTTTGCGGTCAAAGATGTAGAAGAGGGCGGCCGACATGATTGCGGAGCCGCAGAGGATGATGACGACGATGAGGACGGTGGTGGTGTTGGTTGTTGTCGTGTCTTCGGCGGTGGTGCTCCCCGGCGTGCTGGTGCTGGGGCCGAGACCGTTGCTGCTTGGTATGCTGTGGTCTCCCGGTGATGTGTCTTGTGATGATGCTGCTGTCGCTTGTGCTTGTCTGACTCTGACTGCGTTGGCGATGGCAGGTGCCATTCTCCCTGTCCGTACTTATACTGACGTGTGGAGAGAGAGACGGGGAGGAAGGCGTTTATTTGTTGACAGCGGGCTAGAACCACAGACACTGAGCTTGCTGGTCAGTTTGTCTGTGTCTGTCTACCCGCCGGCCTTGTCCTCGGAGGGGAAGCGCAAGCTTGTCGACGGTGCCGTTATAGTGTGCGCCGGCGCCGGCCTCCGGTGGTGCCAGCTGCTCGGATATGGTGGGGGTGGAAGAGGCAGAGGGGGGTGGCGGGTGTGTGTAAGTGACTCGATGTGAAGACGAAGTGCAGGTCACTGATACTCCGGACGACTGCACAAAAGCAAGGACAACAACATCAGCAGCATGCCCCTTCACAATGACTCCCGCTCGAGCTTTCAATGTCGATATGCAGTTCTGCGCTGACCTAGAAAAGAGTCCGTGTCGAGGGGGAGAAGAGGTGCGTGATGGGAGGTCCTTAAGACTGACTCCCTTCCCACCATCTCAAGAGCTACCTACCTTACCTACCTTAGGTGCAATCAGCACAGCTTCAGATGCAGCAGTGTGAACCCCGGCATGGGTTCACCGCGGTGCAAGAGCACGAGCAGAGCACTGCCAGGCGGGTCGTAGGCCGTTTCCTCGAGGACCCATGAACAGGGAGTGTGCATAACGAGGCATGGTTGCAAGGGTACAAGTATTGGGGGGGGGAAAGAGAAACAAAAAAAGAGGGCACGTTTGGGAATAGCAACAGCGACAAACCAGCTAAAGCAGGCAGATGCCCAGCAGCGGCCCAGAGAGGCAAGGCACACTGTCTCGTAGACGCATCGCTGCAGGACGCCATCAGAGCGGCCATCATTGGCTGCGCCATTCTCCCCGGCCCCCATGTCCCGTTACCCAAACCCGCTCTGCCGCCCGAACCAACAGCAGCCCAGCTGAACCCCCCCCCCGGGGGGGTCTTTGGTGCCTAGGAGGGGCGTGTAGGATGATGCTGAATTGTAATGGCATCTATCTGTCCATGACGAGGTTTTGCCTTTCCTTCTTCTCTCTTCCTGCTGTTATCCTCAGTAATCTGCGGGAAGAGACAGAATTGCAGGATCCAATGCCATGTCCGCCTGCCCATCCGCTCATCTCGACGTGAAATTGAGCCTTTGGGCCACCGCCGAGGCTTGACGGATCGCACTCCCGGCGCGTGCCTCGTCTGCCTGGTGATTTCCGTGGCTCTGTGAAATTCATTAGAGGCGTCACACGTCGATCGGCCTGTCGGAACTGTGGCGGTTGAGGTGAGCACCGCTGCGCGGTTGTGTTGCAATTGGACCGCTGTACGCTGTACCACTCTCACCCACTGCAACAGCCCAACTTAGAACCCTCGTCACCCCTGCCGACAAATGCCTTACTCGGTTTAGCATGAGCCTTTTTCAGCACAGCACCAACAACCTCTGCTCGGCCAAGAGGGGGAGGGGGCTGACGGAAGTGTGGTGCGCTGAGCTTGTTGGATGAACCGAGGAGAACTTTCCTCTCCAGGCTTGGGGTATGTAGTTGCCACAGGGGCCCACCCCCCAGCGAAGGAACCTGCGAGGCGGAGCTTGAGGGGGGGAACCCCCGGGCGGCCATCAGTGTGTTCGCGGTTTAGTCAGGCCTCTGTGGGCTGGCTGACATTTCCCCCAACTTCCTTCATCGAGTCACTTACACATCACACAATCATGCGATGAAGTCGGCGGCAACGGTTGAACCTGGCTGGGCTGGCAAAATAGGGGCGAAACAAAGAAAGATAACAGAGTCAACTTGCAAGCCCAACTCAAAATGCTCGTGGCGAGCGGCCGTGGGACCGTTTATCCTACGCCGTCTGGGTTCTGGCCCGCCAGCCGCTCCTTTGTCTCTCATGAGCCTATTCTTTCCCACCCCTCCAACGACTCGACCATCGTACTCGCAACAAAGGAACGCAGCGTGGCCCATCGTGCGATTAAACATGGGCTGGGCCCGCCACCAGCAACGGCTGGCCAGCAAAAACACGAGGCGGGCGGAAAGGGCCTCTTCAAAAGCCTCTTCAAATCGCCAGGGGGAACAATAAACAAACGCTGGTCGAACGGGCAGCCTCAGCCTGTTTTTCAAATCCAACCGGCCAGTCGTTTTGTAGAAGTATGCCTGGGCTCGAGAAACAAGAGCATTCAGCAGAAGTCTGGCTTGCCCTGCAACTCTAAACTATGCCCATTTCTACCCTCCACTTCAGGGGCACGCAGCAACGCATGGAGCCTCCCTCTTTGTCCTGTGCACCCGTTTCAACGGGCTGCAGTGTGGTGTTTGTCCGGCCCCCCCCCCCCCTTCGGAATTCGCACGCGGGCCAAAAACCGCAACGAGGCATGATATTCAGAGTTCGTCTCCAGTCCGCGGGCGCTGCGCTCTTTGCGACGACCATGTACCGAACGTCTCAGGAAACGATGCTCGGTGCGGAGAGATACCGGAGGTCATTAGGGCTCCTCCCCTCTGCCCCTCTTGCGTCAACATCCAACACAGGACGACGGCACATACATCAGACAGAGTACAGACAGATCTGAACCTCGGACCCGGACTCCGACCCCGGAAAGGACTAGGCTGACAGACGGCTCGTCCACGATCGCGCACCCGCCAGGCGACATCAGTACCGGGTCGGTCGGTTGGTTGGTTGCTCGCTTCTTTTGATAGCCCGGCCCCCATCCGTTGGATCTTCAGTCAGACTTCGTCATACATCTACCACCGGCTCTAAAGGCAGCTGCTGAGAGGGAAAAAAAAAAAAAAAGGCTTCAGTCCGCGCCGTGGTCTATTCAAAATCGCCCCGCTCGCTAACATGAACCAAGTACGGGGAGTGCTTAGTGGCGGGGTAAACGCAAGACACAAGCCAAGTTATCCATCCGTACAACAGCGCGGCGTCAAACTCTCTTGCCTGTACGAACTGATCGGTCGTGTAAACAGGCTGCAGGACGCAATTGGGGGAGACCCGCCCCGCGATGCTGCGCTTCTTTGCAGAGTGACACCACATCACAGCACGGCCTCAATAGTCCGCTTGCTGCCTCGATGCGATGGGGTGGAGTTGAAACATTGTTTCTTGGCCAAAATGATATTGTGTTTGCGTTTCCTCGTTTGTCAGAGGATATTCGTCTATTGACCAGCAGAGCGCGCGCTCCATTCACGAAACGTCGAGGATGCCTGGCTTCCGGAGCAGAGTCGAAGTCATCCCATCTCATACAGCAACTCACCCCCAGAACCTATTTTAGGTTCATGTTCGCACCCCCGACGGTCCCCTAGAATACCCATCTGTGAATGGCGACTGGACCGGGTACCTGAAAGGATTTTTGCGAATTGAGTTGTGCGTGCAAACAGCTACCTAATCCGCAAACCCGTCTCTAAAACCCGTCCCTCCGACGACACAAAAGCCAGAAACGCCATGCAGTCAGCTTCATATCGTGCTGACTTATGCTGATCCTCCCGTCCGCCCGTCGAACCCGATGAACCCCTCCGTGGTCTGCTAAACCCCGCGATTGGGCTGGCTATTGTAAGCTCCTGCAAGCCGTGCCGCTCAGCGTGCCATTTCGTAGTGCGGACCCTCGGCTTGCTTAACCGCCCCGGCACGCTTACTCGACGATCGCCAACTGGGACTTACCCCCTCCCCCTCGCTGTGCACTCGAATTGGTATCATTATCGCGGCACATGGGAGAGACACAGAACAAGGGGAACGAAAGCGGGAAATGGCGTGTGTTGGGTGAAGCCGACGGCACAGAAGCGCGGCTGTGTAAGCGGACCGCGGCGCGGGAATCCTGCCGTGAAGAGACAACCCCACCTTGGCGATGTGATCTCCTGCCTGTCTGTTACTTGAAGAAAGGCCCCCGTCTGTAGGGCCGAACGATGGGAAGGTGCAAAGTGACATGCTGCCGCCTAGGCGCAGCGAATTCGTGCCCTCGGCTCGCTGCCTGAAGACCACGAGACGATCTTGCTCTTATTCAGGACCGTTTGGGGCTGTTGGTGCGTGGAGATGAGGGAGAGGAGGTAACCTCGATCTGCACGTCCAGTAATCGCTCGTCGCTCAGCCACCAGATGAGCGGCTGCGCCAGAGACATGCCGCCGTGTGACGGCGAGCTTCTTGGGCCCCCGCTGTTTTTGCCGCAGTCAGGCCGGGTCAGGATGCACGATGATGGGTTTGGGAAGCAGCCATGGGTTGTGCCAGTCATTTGCGACAAGTTGTCGTTGGTGATGAGTGAGGAGGCCCTACGCTGGGTTGAAGCCTCGAGGCGGAGCGGGTTCGTTGAAGGGGCAAGGTCTTAGCTTCTTGGTGGTGTCCACCATAGGTTCGTTGGCTTGCGCGGGGAGCCTTGTCTTGGACCCCCGGCCCCCAATTGATCCACTAATCAGTGACCCCTCCAGCACATCGTGTGTTTTTTTGGCGGTTGAAGGTGGCGATGCATTCACAGTGTTGCTCAACGGGCGAAGTCAGCATCACGACTTGGTGAAACTCTGATTTCCTGGGTATCATGTCTTTTGCGACTTTCTGTCGCTCATATGTGTAGGGAGTACTTGTTGGCCCCCGAAAACGTATTCACAAGTGATAAGGGTCGTCATTCCTCATAATGTAAATCTCCCCCACGAGGACCGTGCAGCCGACGGTCATGGCGATAGCGATGATGGGGACGTTGACGCGAGCAAACTCCATCCTTCGGATATGAATGTGTTTCCTTTCGAGGATGTCACGCCACAGCAGCCCTGCCAACGATGCGCTAAAGGCGGTACTGAAGGCGCCGTAGTTGACGCCGAGCGCCATGCTGTACACCGTTGCCCAGAACGTCCGATCGCTAATGTCGCTGCTGCCGGGTACCATGTGTATCCTCTGCCAAGCTTGGATGACCCGTGATAAAAGGATCGTGGTGCCGATATTAGTTCCTGCAAACTAGAAAGCCACCAGAGTAAGCATATATGAAACGGGGCTCGATAATCTCGGGGAGACTCACATTGCAAAGGATGACCGAAAGGAAGCCCATGCCGCCGATTGCGCCGATGGTTCCCGTCTTTTCCACCCAGTGGTCCCATCCGTAGGCAAATACCGGAACCCAGCCCTTGGTGACGAGTGCTTGCACTAGGACGAACATCGCAAAGGCGAACGGAACGAGGGCAAAGGGCAGATGCGATATCACTGCCATCACGGTGGGGAACGTCTCCTGCGACCATCGATAACCGTCCCTGGAGAGGGACACAAGTGTCCGCGGCTGGGGCTTTTTCGTCCGGCTCACTGTGGTTTCCTCCAAATCGCTAGGCCGCTTCTCGTTGTTCACGCCCGTCATCAGGACACCTCCTGCTGGAGAGCTAGATTCGTCCGCATGAGCCAGCTCATCCCTTTTCTCCGAAATGGTCAAGCCACTGCTGGATGGCCGACTGTTATCTGCCCCATTTCCCATGGCCGTGGACATGGACGACTCCAGACGGGGACTTGACTCGGGCGTTGGGCTAATGCTGGCGTCTCCTGTCGGGCCAGCAGGCGTGAGCGTGAGCAGAGGAGTGAGTCCTCTGCCGGGGCTGACAGGTGGTGTGTCGTAGTCTCCATTTTTCATGTCATCCTTTACATCAGCATCGGCGTCCTGGACGTGAATCTCGGGCCAGGCTTCTCTGGAGAGACTTCTGGTCATCGACAGCATCTCTGTACCACCCTCAGTGGATATCCCCCTGCCTTCAAAATGCTCTCTGTTCCTCTCCTGCCTCAAGGCCCTTTCCATTCGGGCTCGTTCAACCTCTTCTCGCCCTCTGCGAGCGATTGCGCGAGTCTCCTCTCTGTGAATCCACCCAAATGCGAGGTCCCAGCAAAGCATGACAAAGGCCGCAGGTAGTGTGACCCAAAAGACCTGAAAGTGCTCATCATTCTTCGTCTTGACGCTAGCAGCGTTGATGGCTAGGACGGTGATGAGTGTTACCGACATAATGATGGCACCGAACGCTGCGCCACCTTTATCCAGAAAAGGGTTCATGATCTCAACGAGGGAAAGAAGTTGGCCCTGGTCGTCGTTTGTATGAGTCTCTTCATCCTCATCTGCGGTACCCCTGGCGTTGGGGATGTTGGGGTTGACGGCAGGTTTCAATTTGGCTTCTGCGGGCAGCTCGCGCATCTTGATGGAGACGGGAATGAGGCCCTCGTTGGCAAAGACGATATACAGCAGAAAGGGGAACAAGACAATGGCCGTCACGACAACCGGAACCACCATGTTGGCGGTGTACCCGATGAACTTGATGTTGAAGGCTCCTGCGAGGACGAGATTGGTCGGGTTGGACGAGACGAGGATTGCCGAGGCGATGTTGGCTATAGAGAACTGAGTAAAGATCCAGGCTCTCGGATGTTTGATGTTGTTCGACACGCGCGTCATGTAGGCGAGGAAGGCGGTGCCTGAAAGAATAATCGGGTCGTTGCCGATGAAGGTGCCTAGGCCGAAAAAGAAGGCGTACAGGTAGAAAAATAGCCTGTGGCCGACCTTGCCTCCCCATTGCAGAACTTTCAGAGCCAGATACCTGATGAGGCCGGACGCGTCGATTGAGATTGCGATGTAGGCTAAGGTGATGAAGAAGATCATGATGTCAAGCGGAAAAATGCCATTGTCTCCCAGAGTGCCGGCCTTGACCTCGTCTCTTCCGATGGCCAGGATGGCAAGGAGGAAGAGGTCGGCGATGAGGGGCGCCGTGACAGAGTTCATGGGGAATCTCTTGCGCACGAACTGGCTGGCACCACCGTCACGACGGTCATGGTGAAAGTCCTTTTCTCGTGGTGGTATCACACGTAGAGTACTGAGAGAATCCAGAACGGCGTGCCAGAGTCGCACGGGAATGTAGACTGGGATGTGGAAAGGGAACAACACGACAATGTCTGTGCTTCCGTGTTAGTCGCGATATCCCAGCGGGGTGACGCTGCATGTGCAAACACAGGCGGGCAATTGCATGTACTCACTGGCGAGGAAAAAGACGATGAGGGTGACGATAGACCGCCACTCTCTGATCTGGTCAGTCTCAATGCTGACGTCGGAGAGGTCCATCGTGGCGATTGAACTTGGTTCAACCACCACGGGATGACGCAGCAAGGCCTTGTTCGCAAACACAACGGTGAGATGAGGCTGGAAATGATCTTGTGCCGCACTTCATGGTGTTGCAGGCTGAAAATTCAGGTTGACACCCAGGTCTAGGTCCAGGCTCTGGTCTGGGGGAAAGAAGCGGCGGGGGACGGCAGAGAGAAAACACCACTCACGGCAGGCACTCTGTGTCTTGCTCTTTCCTTGGCAAATAGAAGCAGCAGGTGCCCGGTCAGATCAGCCCTAGCGCCTTCCGAATGAAACCTGACGTCGTCTCCTATTGGGCTCGATGCAGGGCCCCCGCTTTTCTATGTTGAACGACAGGCTGCAGAGTGCTTTTCTCCGTCTTTTTACTGGCTGCGAACCATGTCCGTTCTCAAGTGCTCCTTCTGACGCTTTCCGCAGCCAATTACCTCACCTCAATGCCAACTCAGTGCTGACTTTTCTCCCCTTCACGTTAGTCCAAGCAGCCGGCCGTTTAAGTTGCCTAGCCTATTCATCCCGCTCAGCAGCCAACGCCCGACGGATATTAGGACTATCTGACTGGTAGGAGCAAACCTGCATCATCGACATGCTGCGCCACCTCCGGAACTGGAATGACAGCCAGCAGTGCTTGTTCATATCTTCCACGCTGTCTTGCCCCAAAGACCCAGAGGCCGCCGCACTGCTTGGCTTGTCTCGATATGAACAGCCATGAGCCGCACCCGTCACGCGACCACCTGCCTACCTTACCTTACCTGTCCGAGGCAGCCCTCTTCCAGCGCCTGTTCCTGTCCCTGAAAGCTTGGAATGCGATGCCCGGGAACCTTCTCCGCTTCTTACACTACCTCGGGGGGGAAAAAAAGAGGAACGAGCCCGCGGTTCCATCTTGACGTCTAAATTGCCGGTCGATTACCGGGCCATTGGGTCCATTTCTTCTTCAAACCAACACGCGAAGATTGTGGAGTTTCTCTTAAGCTTGTGTCCAGTTTTAGCCGGCAGCTTGCAGCGGCTCCGGCTCGGCCGTCATCTATGGCACCCCTCGCACCGGCCGCTTTGCTGCACTCCCTCTTCCGCCGAGACGACGATGCCGGTGTAGGCTCCTCCTGCGACGGAGTCAACGGCCCTTGTATTGAGGTCGTCTGCGCCTGGCCGCTGTCAGGTCAATATGGTTTCGGCCAGCGGATCTTGTAAGTGAAGCTTCCCCACTCCTGGCAAATCGGCAACTCAACCGAGTGAGGAACTTGGCGAATGCTTGTACCAACCTTAGTGATGGGACGAAACATTTCTAGCGCAAAGGCTAATATCACGCCTCAGATACTACATCCTCGTCGTCGTCTGTGTCGTTGCCCGAAAGGAGGAATGGATTCGGGCTGTCTGTCAAGCAGCCGCACTGCTCGTCCCCGCTGTAGCTGCCATCCATGGTATCGTCTTGGCATCGATGCACGTTGATGGTGAGTCCGAGACACGCCCCTTCCACCACCTAAGCTTTTCGGCTAACGGCTTGACGACACAGGTGCCACAGACATGGACATATACGGGGCCCTGCAGTTTTGCTCAATTGGCATTTTAGCGGCACCCGTGACTGTGAAGCTATCGTCAACCTTCTTCTACGACCCAGGGAGAAACATCATCTTCCTGTGGACGGGCCTCATTCTGTCCGGTTAGTGGCAGAGCCCTTCCGAGTCGAAAATGTGAACCTGCTGACCAGATCCAGGTCTGCTAAGTTTGGCCGTCGAATTTTATCGCTCCAATACCCATCCATGCGCGACTGGGAACAGCTTAATTCCGAGTCTTAGGAGTTTCCCCTATGGAGAGGAAGATCTATGCGGCCTTGTTTGCTCTGAAGATAGGGGCCCGTTTTCCAGTCTGCGGCAAGGTGCGACAAGTGAGATTTATGTCGTTCCTAAGCCTGCGACGCTTCCTTTCGGCATGGCCATGTTCCTCGCCGCCGCCGAATGTGTTCCGGCCATTCTCTCGTTGGTTTCTATGTGGAACAAGATTTTGGAGATCAATTGGAAACGAGGGAAAGGGTCTCCAGACAAAGAGCGGATAGAGGACCAGGGCATCATCCCTGGGACGAATGGTGCCACTTTGAAAGGCATGAAGGACGTCAACCAGGCCATCAGATCACTCTTGAGTGCCGTTGAGGTTCCTGTTTTTGGGGGTGCCTGGCTTGCTGTTCTCATCATAGGCGAGATCAACTTTTGGAGCCCCCAAGTCAACTATCACACGGAGCCGATTAGTAACATTGGTTGGTGGCCCTCTGCTTTCCGGGAACTGCCTTAGACTAACAATTCCAGGCCAATGGGGGACTATCCTTGGGACTGGGATGGCAGGGCTGGGTTCGCTCTACGTCTGGCTTGCAGACAGTAACGGCGACCTAGCAAATCCCACCACAACTCACTGCAACTGTCCGCACTACCATGGTCGTGAACCACCGGACGGAGTACTAAATGGAGAAGTAAGCCCGCGAGCCAGTACAGCCCACCGAGAATTCCAAGAGCGCACTGGATCAGAAGCGGGACTTTCCATCGCGACTTCCACAGCGCCTTCCACGGGGGAATGGGTACCCAGACGAAAGATCGCCAATGCCTTGGGAAAAATTGGCAACTACTTTGGCAATCCAGCGAAAGATCCTTTTGGTGCTGGGGATTATAAGACTGGGGAATGGCCTCGGATTCCAGGAGAAGCCCATCGAAACAGCCAGATGGCGGAACACGACGACCGGTATAGTATCATGGAAGGGCCGAGCAGCTCGCGTGATTCTGCCGACGGCAGTTCGAGCAGCGACAGCGTCTCGGGAGCTCCAACGCCTGCCTCACCCACGTCGCCCACGTCGCCGACATCAGTGTCCTTTTCGCCTCGAGCGAGAAGTCCGAGACCACACTCTAACTCGTTTCCAGCGCCGCGAGCAGCTTCTCGTCATTCTTCATTCGATCAAGCGAGACCAACAGCGCCATCTCACGATCCAAGAGGTCGCTCGCCGTTGCGTCGCGCAACACTCGAGGTGCCCCCGTCAGCTCATCATGGATTTTGAATTTTCGATATCTATAAGGCAGACGCAGTCGATCTCATTGGAGACTCCTTGGGGCTGGCGTCCGAAGAGATGTCGGGAAGTTATGCACGTTGCAGCTGCAGACTTGACATATTGTTCTAACCACAGTCACGCCCAACCTAGAAGTATCATGGCGTTTGCTTGTTTGGAAAATTCAAGGCGCAACATGAAGGGGCAGGATGGAAACTAGACATGAAATGTACGATGGATATAAAATCCGCTCATAAATAAGGGTGTCAGGGAACCTTTTGGACGCTGGAAGCAGGGACCACTGCCTGTTAGTGCCACACAGTGCCAGAAATAGTGTGATTGAAGATAGAAACAGTGTAAACGAACCAATCGCACCGCGCATGGGAAGACTCCAATTATTTTTTCCCACCTTGAACCTTTGAGCCTTGTCTCGCGTCGCGACTCCATCTCCGACCTGCGCTACCAACCGTTCAGCCTCGCACACCCGCTCTTCGGAACCGAGGCCATTGACAAAGCCACAACCCTCTCATCACCCCGCGCATACCTCCTCGGTCGCCTTCAATATGGGAGGCAGAAGGTCCAGATCAGGCAGAGCTGCGGCTAAGCGCGCCTCTGCCGCCCTTCGTGAGTACAACCTTTTCCTCGTCTTCCCTTGCGACAGCTCTACAACTTTGGGAACATGCTTGTTCCAGAGAGCGTCATGTTACAATCAAAGGACTTGAATGCGTGTACTTGTTTGGAGCTTCTCGGCTGGTCAATGATTGTTGGGTTGGCGCGCATCTCCAAGCATCCTCGCCTGCCCCTCCTTCCTGAGCAGCTGCCCATCCACCCGCATGACAGAACATCGTCTAACCACCATCGTCAATCTAGAAAGCACCCCCAGAGCATTCGAAGGCATCGACGATGACGAGCCTGTCGCCGAGGCTGTCGAATCCGAGCCCGAGGTCGATGCGCCCCCGGAAGACGATGAGGAGGAGGAGGAGGAGGATGACGACCAAAAGGCGGACGAGTCCGGCGAAGAGGACGCCGGTGACGACGATGGCGAGGAGGAGCCGGCCAACGACGACGGGGACGACTCAGAGCCATCGGCCAAGGAACCCACGCCTCCGACCGAACCAGTCGTTCGCCGCAAGCGACTTGGAAGACCACCAAAGAACAAGCCCCCTGGCTGGGACAACATGATCACCGTGCCTGCCTCCGAAGCCGACACACCCCGCCGGAGAGGCCGCGGTGGCTGGCGTGGAAGAGGCGGTCGCAGACCACAGCCTGGCCAGGCTCCCCCGAAGCTGAGGCAGGTCATCGACAAGGAGGGCACCGAGGTCGATATTGTCGACGACGAGTGCGTGCTGCCCGAAGACCCGGAGGGCGAGACGAAGGTGGACAAGCTTGGCAACCTGCTTGGTGGTCGTCAATACCGTTGTCGAACGTTCACTGTAAAGGACCGCGGTGAGAGGCAGTACATGTTGTCCACGGAGCCCGCGCGTTGTGTCGGTTTCAGGGACAGTTACCTCTTCTTCAACAAGCACCCTAAGCTGTACAAGATCATTGTCAGCGACGAGGAGAAGATGGACATGATTGAGCGCAACATCATGCCGCATTCATACAAGGGTCGTGCCATCGGAATCGTCACGGCTCGGTCGGTGTTCAAGGAGTTCGGCGCGCGCATCATCGTCGGTGGACGGAACATTATTGACGACTACCGTGTTGCGGACCAGCGCGCGGCGGGTGTCGTAGAAGGAGAGATTGCGGACCCCAGCGACGTGTTTGATCCCTCTCAGGACTACAACACGAATCAGTACGTTGCGTGGTTCGGTGCGAGTGCGGTGTACCATACGAATCAGACGCCAGCTGCCGCGGATCCTCTTGCGGGTTTGACAGAAGTGAAGAAGAAGCGGGTCAACGTGAACGACACTAACTGGCAGTTGGAGCACGCCCGTGCCGCTAGGTAAGTTATTCTTGGGCAACAACAAACGAGGCAGTACTAACAAGATCCAGCGAGTTCAACTCTCGCCTCAATGCAATCCGCAATCTCAACCTCCAGAAGGGAGCCTACGATATCCACACCAATCTCATGCAACAACCCGTCAATACGCAGCCCACTCGCGCAAGAGTAGAGGTCGTCAACCCAGACAACGCCGCCGATCCTAAGTCCTCCTTCGCTGCCGTCTCGCCTGCTGTACAGCGCAATTTCAATGTCGTTGATATCGTCTACGAGACGCCCCGCGCAGGCGTCCAGTCCGCTGGCAAGCGCCCCGACAACGTCCCCGATTTCCTCAAGCCCTTCAACGGCATACTCGCCATCGGCGACGACCTCAAGGCCCTCTTGCCTCCCGAATGCCGCGAGTCGCTGGAGCGCCACCAGGCCGAGCAGCGGGAGTTTGAGACCCGCTTCGGCGACGAGAAGGACACCATGGCGCGGGGCGGACTGCTCATCGACAAAGCCATCGTGCCGCAGGGCAAACATTCCTAGGAGGAATCTGTGTTTCTGAACCAAGGTTACTGGACCACGGACAATCGGGTCGAGAGCAGCTACACAAGGGCCGGGTGCAACTTTTGCGGGGGCCCGGTTGGCGAGTGCGAGCACATGCAGCCGTTTCTGGCCTGGAAGATGCCACGATGGGAAAGCGGTGACGAGATGAAGATGGTTAAGACCGATTTGTAGCCGCAGGGCAACGACTGCTACGCCCTTGCCATCTCGCGACAGACGCGTAATTGATTATGGGGGAGGGGATTGTTTGGCCCGGCGTTCAGGGAGGAAAGGGGAATCATCGGACTGGTGGCGGTCACTGCCATGCGTAATATCTTTTTATTTCACATTATGGGAACTAACTGGCTTGAATGAGAAAGAAGTCTGGCGGAGGTCTCTGGATTAGATGAGGCGGGCTGTACGTAGGACTAGACGGATGAATCATGAAATCAAGAAAGGCCCAGACAAGTCGCGTTTTTCCGCTCTTGCGAGATGTGACTGCGTAAAGGACAGAGCCTTTTGGAGATACTGGTTGCGGTTCTGTGTTGCTGTTGCTACGTTGGTGCTCTCATCTTTGCCTTTCGCTCTTCGAGCTGCCAGATCCACCGAGAGCCCACGATTACTGTGTCGAAGCTCACCTCATCCTGGCATGCCAGCCTGTTGCCTTCTTATTTATAGTTCAACAGGGCTTGGCGGCGTTTGTGCTGACCAAAACCGCTGGCTTTACTTCTCTGTGAGGAACTTTGGTGATATTGAACAGAACAAATACGCTGTCGAGAGGCCAGTATTGACTTCCCGTGGATTCGGGATATCGGACGGCACCCGGCTCTCAGCGTAACTAGCACCCATCAAGCTATAATTGTAAGGCATGTCATGCCGCACGCCAGTAGCACCTCATGTTCTCTCTGCGTCGTCCTACATTACCAGCTTGACTTTAACGTACTAGGGCCAGGCGCTGCAGGCTCAAGAGAGCGGAGTGGACAGAGAGGCACAGGTCCAGCAACGTGAATGGAGATGTGTGTAAAAAGAGGAGTGTGACTCGAGCAAGACTCACAGTTAAGAGCTGGATGGCAGGCAGCTCCTTCTATCGCCTTGTGTAGTTGGTTCGCGGGTAGTAGATACGCGGAGGTTCGTCGTTGGTTGAGGTCTCCTTGCTTTGATAGCTTACGTTTACTATTTGAGAAACCCTCTGAACTTATTTGAGGTGCTAATCAACATGAAGTCATTCAATAACATTTCATAAATCAAAAGAGTTCGTTGAGGCTGTTTAGATTTCTGTCCCGCTCAACTTCTGACTTTGTCCCGCGGAAAAAGCTACTACACTATTAAACAACATCATAAATCAAAACTTCTTACCCTCCCACCTATAGGCTGCCATTGTCATCCCTACTCACGCTCTCTCAACTCCAGAGATGAGGAAACCAAACCACAAGTAAGGAAGGTCCCCCAAACATCCCAACTCAAGCTCCCACACACCCATTCCACACCTCACAGACATGCCCCCTCCCAACCCGCCTCCATTCATTCACCTTAACCTCAACCTCACCTCTCAAGGACCCTGGCCTCAGATCCCCGTCCTCTCCCGTCCCTGAACCCCGAAAAAGGCCTAAACCAACGCTCGTACGCCGTCCTTATCACGCCACCCTGTGATCCGAGTTCGTCCTTAACTCAGTCCATGGCCTGACTTCCAGACCGGATAAAACCACAAGACGCGAGAAGTAGAGCGAAAAAGCGTCACATGGATAGTCCTCCTTTTCCTCGACACCCATCGGATCCTCTGTTATCCCTCACTCC